ATTAATTATTAATAATATATTCATCGTCTTAAAATTCTGAATTTAGAACAAGGTCAATTTTATCTCCTAATTTTATGAGAGTTCTAAATACAATAGTTTGATATTTTTATATGTAATAAAACTATCATACGAAACTATATTAGTTATATACTTTAACCAACATACATTAATCATTAAAAATACATTCATCGTCTTAAAATCTTAAATTTAAAACGAACTTGTTTTATGAGAGTTCCAAAAGGGAATTTTGTTGGCCGTCTTTACTGATTAATCAATAGTATACATTGTTTTCCTTGGGTGTTGTAATTGAATGGTGTTTGCTTATGACCTTTAACTTGTTAAATCATTTTGAAGTGCGGCCAGAAAAATTGATCAAATTTAATTAGAAAGTTTATAAAATTATGATTTTTTCTTTTATTTTAAAAGAAAATAGCTTTTTCTAATTTTTAATTAAAAAATATTAAATCTAAAAAAGTAAATATATTTAAAAATAAAATAAATTTTATGACCAAAAGAATTTTCTCGAGTCATTTCACTTTCACGTAAAATGTCGAAAATATATGGGACCTCAACATTCATTATTTTGTTAAATAGTAAGTCTTTTGATATAGAAAGGTGGCCCATGTATATTAATTACGATTAGTTGTTTTCTTCGCCAATCATTTTCCCGTGGTTATGCTAATTCCATCCATGCATAATAGATACTACTTCCTCCGCCCACATTAGGATTAGAATTAATAATTTGGTGTTCTAAATTTTAAAATAAAAAGAAAAAAATATTGTAAACCTACGACACTAGATGTGAAAAGCATTTTAAGAATCCTTACCTACCATTAAGCTACAAATGAATTTTATTAGGTGGTTACATATGAATATATATGTAAGTTTTTAATATAAATACATGATTGATAGAAAAGTTAGTAGGTTCGTTTGAACGCTTGAGCTATCACTTAACTTCGTTTTAGCCTCAACCTCATTTTGTATGAATCACTGGATTTGACGTAATAATAATAGCTTTTAAATTTAAAAATAAAAAAATTAAACTTAAATTACTTTTAAGTCAAAAAATAAAAAATGATATTTTGATTTTTTATTTTATTTTAAAGTTATTTATAACTTTATCAAACACTATCCAATTTATTTTAAGTCATTTATGACTTATTTCAATAAAAATTGACTTAAAAGTAAATTTGATCAACTTTTAAATCAATTAAACATGAAATACCTGACTCGACAGTAAAATTTTTAATAGATAAAAGGTTTTTAAATGCCTTAACGTATTGAAAAAAAAAGAAGAAATACCCTCCTTCTACTTATTGAATCAAAATGTTGTTAAAGGTTATTTTTAAATTTAAAAATGCCATCTTTAGTAAAATTTTGACATAGGATAAATAAAATTTTAAATTAAACACATGACATTAAAATATTGATCACATAAATCTTTTAAATTTAAAAATATCCTTTTTTAATAAAAATTTAACATGAGATAAATAAAATTTTAAATTAGACACATGACAATAAAATATTGATCCACATCAATTTTTGACCCAACTTAATTAATCTAGTGGGTCATTCTTTGAATTTAATAAAGTTCCAAAAATTAGGAAGAAAGTGAAAATATAATAAAATTGACATGAGCCAATAAAATTATACTAAATAATATAAATAAAGTTAATCAGGGGTCCATTTATTCTTTAAGCTCATCATAAAAGAATACAGAATTCAAACATCATTTTTCTTCAACTTTGAATGTTTTTTTTCTTCTTTTTCATCTAAATTTAAAAAATTATAAGAATTTATCTCTCAATATTAGGAATTGGCAAAAAGAAAATTTGCTTAAAATATTTTTTAAAGAAAATTTGGATCTCTAAATACAAATATAATTAAGTTTACATATATATTCAAAATGATTTTTGTAAAAATTATTCGAAATGATGTTACTTTAATACAATTTCAAAAAAAAAGTGAGTTAAAAACAAATTATTTTTAAAAGTAATAATTGTTATGTTTAAATGGATCCTAAAAATAGAAGTTAAAAAGAAATGAATTCAAAAGATGAAAAATTTAAAATACGATAAAGTGAGAAATAATTTAATCCTATGATACGAATACGAATTATATTCATATTTAAATTTGACTAGATAATTATTTAACCATAAAAAATAAAATATATTTTTATTTATAGTATAAAATTGAAAAAGTAATTGAATAGGTCTTCAAATATTTTATTTTATTTAAAAGAAAAGGAAAAACAGACTAGAAAAATGGAAGAAGAGAAAACCATGAAAGAGAAATAAAAGGCAAAGAAATAAAAATCAAGACTGAATCTCATTAATCAGAATATAATTGCAATAAAAAATAGGGCCCCCACACAACTAATATAAATTGTACCGTAAATTTTTTCAAAAAGCTTCAGTGTTAAAAAATAACAAAATTTTATATTAGTTACTAACAAGATGAACGAATTAAAATCTCACCTAATTTTACATATCTAAAATAATTATAAAGATCGCATAATTACAAATTATTTTATTAAAAATAAAATTTATATTTTAAAGATAAATTATTATTTATATAAAATAAAAATAAAAGTGAAATCATATCAAGTAAACAAATAGGTAACAATTTTTGCGGAAAGGGGCATTCGTAGTAGCACATTGATGTTCGAAAAAAACCCATATATTTAGATATTATTTATCTCACACTATAGCATTTTTTTTTAATTTTAAAAGTATAATTGTATTAATTTCTGTTTAATATTATGGTTTTACCGTGTAGAAATAAATTGATATAAAAAAAATATAGAAACAAAAAATTCATATTTATATGCTATAGCAAATTTTGCATAATTGCGCTCCATAGCAAACATAAAACTGTATAATTCACTATACATATACAATTGTATAATTCGCTCGCCTAAATTGTATAATTTGCTGGCCTATTTCGCTGCAATTGTATAATTCGCTATCCCATTTCACTGCAATTGTATAATGCACAATTGTATGTATATTACATAATTATAAGTGTATAGCAAGAAGATATATGTTTTTCTTTCGCTTTATACAAAAACAGAAACACAATATATACACTTTCTGTTGTATAAAGCTAGAGAAAATTATATTTCACTGCAATTGTATAATTCGTTGGCCTTTTTCTCTGCAATATTTGTATAAAATTTGCATTTGTCTACAATTGAATTGAAGTAAAATGTTTGTAAATTGTATAATTAAGTGTATAACACGAAGATATATGTTTTTGCATGTGTATATACAATTTTCTCTCGCTTTATACAAAACAGAAACAAAATTATACACTTCTGTGTATAAAGCGAGAAAGGCGAGCAGAGAGTGGCGAGCGAGAATGGGAGAGAGGCGAGCGAGATTTTTGGGAGAGAGACGCCTGACAAATTTTGACTAATGTTTACTATGGAGTACAATTAAATCAAACCCTAGCTACTTCAATTATTTTAGATTATTAGTTTGCTATTATATATAATTTTTCAAAAAAAAAGAAAAGAAGAAGAAAAAAAAGGGAAGGGGAACTAGTGGAGGACATTATGATGTGGAAAGTAATACGAAATTAAAGTTGTCGCAGAATAGCAGCATCTCAAGCGACCAAATCGTCGAATGGAATCAGTGATTGAACATTCGATTTTACGCTAATTTTATCTTATAATTTTATATTATAAGGTGTGATTTCATATTCTTCAAAAATCATGATATAGAATCATATAGAATTTCGTATCATGATTTGAGATATTTTTGTACAAAAATTGATCTCCAAAATTATATTTTGTTAAAAAAATTATATTTGTATCTACTAACCATTTATTTCACAACATGTAAATAAATTTTATAATCACATCATTATTTTTTAAAATTTATTGTTTTCACCAACATAAATTTATTATTCTCTCCAATATTTAGTCATTTTAACTTATACTTCACGATTGTTGAGTAATAAAATCTTGAAGAGCCCATGAAAGGTGTTTCCTTTTTAGTCAAATATATTGATGAAACAATTACTTAAGTGGAGAACAAATACTTTTTTATAATAATTTATTATGCGATTTTATAATTTTTTATTTATTTGATAAGATTGAATAAACAATTGAAGCTATTTTAATAGTTTTATAACTAATGAAATTTTTATATCTATGAAAAAAATATACAACACCAAAATCCAATATCTTATGTCCAAACAAAACTTTAATTTCATCTCATGATTCCATATCATAATACCATATCGCATGATCAAATGGGTCATAAGTATTCTCTTTTGAAGTCAAACTTTCATTAAACAAACATAAATTAATTCATTTTAATTAATTAAATTGACCGATTAAAAATAAATCAATCATATTATTTTTCATTGATTAAATTTATACTTTCAAAATTAATAATTTTTCTTAAAGATAAAATAGAAATAATATTTTTATTTTATGAATTGATTTTGTGAGGGTAAAATTATCAAAAAAAAAGTTCTTTTTTATTTCCTTCTTATAAATATTAGTCTTTTATCATTATGCACGATTTACACTAGGTTGAATATTGACTCTCAAATAGTGAGTAAATAGGGTGAATTATTGGGATTGCTAGTTAACTTCTTGAGTTTGATTATCAAAATGTTACCCCTTTGTGATTCTTGGTTTCATTTGATTATTTTTTCTTGGGTTGAATTTGAAATAAATTGGAAGGTGAAGATTTTAGTTCCTTATTATTCATAATTTTAATAATTTGAGTATTAAACCACGTATTTTAGGAATATCTAGAAATATTTATTTTTTAATAAAGAACTGAAAGACTAAATTCCTTAAATTATTAGCGTGCTCCGTTGTTTATGGTCGTGTTGTTTCATATCCTTTATCAGATTTTTGAGTAATTTATAAAACATGACTATTTTTTTTACTGAACAGATCATTGGGTTTCTGGTTTGACCAATTTTTTAAGTATTTTTCTGCAGCTGGCGAACGTGTAGTCCAAGTGATTACACAAAATAAATTCAAGCCCAACAATGGAAAATATCTTCTTCTCTTTATTTTCCCCACAAAGAAAAGTATATTATAAACAATCAAAGAATTGTACAATAAACCAGAAAATCATTTTGAGTCTTTTGATTTGCTGGTATCAGTTAATGACTCTTGTCCTCATCGTAGTTAAAAGGCAGAGGTACAGACTTAAAGGCACGGTATTTCCCAACGTTATTCAAGTGCTCATTTTCCAACCTGAACAATGATCAAAACAGCATAACTATTGTTACTATGTCAACAAGTTACATAAAATTTTAACTTAATTATAATATACGGTGTGTAAACAACGTTATTTCAACTGTTGATGTATATAATTAAACTCTGATAGATATAATGTTTCATACCTGAAAAAGTTCCATATGCCTCGACGAAGGATTTCCAAACAGGCAACCACTGCAAGGAATGCTTTCTCGTGCAGAAACGAGAGTTGTTTAATATCAAGAACCAATTGCATCCATACTAGTCTCAGAATAATGTCAAGAACCTGCATTTAGACTCAAAATCATCAAAAACTTTATCGTATTTTTAATAGTTAAGTTTTGAATTCTGTGTCTGCACTTACAATGGCAACAAAGTAGACAATCTTGTGTGGCACAAGCAGTTTGTCTCTCAACCAGGGGTTTTTGGAATTCCTTTGCAACAGACCCCAATCTATGACTAGATCCCAATAAGTGTTTGCAACTGTAGTAACTCCTGAAGTTGATGCTGCCATTACTCTCCAAAACGTTCCTCCCTTCTGAGAATAAAGTGTCCTCATCACAAGTGCAACAATTGTTGAGAAATATTTGAGGCTATTAAGCCCCTGCATCGAATCTCTCTCTTCAAATAGGCGGCGAAGGCACTGAATCATACAAAGCACCATAGTAAATATTTGTCAACAGATCTCTTGTTCATTTTTTGTGTGCAAAAATTCTCACACCTGAATAAACCGAGACCAAAAGGGAATAATTGCAACGACTATGTATAAGATCTGGTAAACATTGCTTTTTAGACATTCATTTGATCTTGTTCTGAAGTTGCCCCACACATAGTAGCAGACATAGAATTGCAAACTCCTAATTGCTTGAACCTGAAATACAAGACCACATTATACTATAGACTTTTCCTATCCTATAATTCCCGTTGAGAAAACGGCTGAGTGTCAAACCTGGCTGGTAAGTTGATCTGCCAAGATGAAATCTGGTAGAGTAACCTGCAAAATGATGTGAGACATTTTACTATCCATGTACTTTTTGTGATATTAATGCGTGTGAATCTGTATCTCTTAGAGAACCATGGGTACCTTATAGAGGGGAGCGCATAGACAGTGCCAGGCAGTTCTTAAAAGGAAGAAACGACTTGAACGATATATGATGTTCAAAGGACAAAAAATTATAAGAAGCAGAACCTGAAATAAGACTTAAGATCATTAGGGGATTTGAAATTCGAACCATTTTGTATCGATCAATTGTAGAAAGATTAGTAAAAAAAAGAGCTAATGTTTTTCTAGACTTACAATCACCAGGGCAAGTGGGATCAGCTCAGTTAATGTCTCAAATTTTTGTGTTTTCGGATCCATATCCATATCCAGGTGGGAGAGTGCAGCAGACAGTGCAAGTAGTGAAAGACCAGAAGCAAGGAGGAGAACTTGTCTGTAACCTAACGCTGTTCCCTGTTTGAAGCCAAATATGAAGGGATAGTTGACCCGAAAACGCTTCCAGTAGTATACATTCCCTGCATACATGAGCATATGGAGGACAATGTATCCGAATAGGCTGCAAAGATAGAGCTTATTACTCGTAAGTACTGCTTAGGATATGGTCTGGCTTGCAGACAGACAAAGGGAAGGAATCAATATGACTTTGTAAAAGACAATGGTTTAGTTCACCTGTAGAGTGGAAATATGTTATCCATATACTGTCCACGATCCTTATGCTCTAGAAGGTTTCCTGCATGTATTGCTACAGCAATAGCTGCCACTAATGCTATTGAGCAGCCAGAGAACATACCTGTAGGTTAAAAGTATATCAGTTAGTAAAATGAATATATGGTCCTTATGCAAGTGAGATGACAGGTCAATCCAGACGTTTCAAAAAAAATTGTTATGCAATACATTTAGGAAGAGGAAGTTGATACTAATAAGGATGCACGCTTACCCATGAAAAATGTTACTCTATGTGTGTCCCTTTTAGCTTGTGGTCTTAAAGACTTCATTCCTTTTCTTCGATTTCCATTGACAAAGTGCTTTATGAATGTGACCTCCACTCTTTCAATGAGCTTAGCAACCTAAGAAAAAAGCAACAATCCATGAGAATTTCAAGCTATAGCTGCAACAGCAATGATGCTGAGAGGAAAATAGTTTTTGAAAGTGAAAGAAAATGTACCTCATCTGAGCTACCAAGATAAGACTTATCAATCATCTCTAAGTATGATTTAGAAGCTTTCCTTGAGGCGATCTGTATCAATAAATTGCAAGGTTCAGAAAGGCAAACTATATAGGAAGTCCTTTCTATTGCCGAATATTGATCACTTTAGTATAGTACCTTATCATACTTCTTCATGATCTTAGAAAATGCCAACACATTTAAGAAACTGCAGAATTAAGTAGCAAAGAGTTAGTTGAATTAAACACAACAAACAACTAAAATTCATCATTTGGGAGGAATAAAATTGCAACACTACCTGTAGTTTTTTAAAAGTCGAAGCTTTTGGTAAAACTCAACAAAAGCCATTCTTATTTGTTCTTCAGCTTTTCTAAGCTCTTGTCTGCTGAATGATAGGTCAGATTTCGCAGACTTGATCACATTTTTCAAAGTCGACATAGGTGTTGCAGGTTCAATATTGATTTTTACATTGTCCAGAATCTCTACTGGAGCAGGTCTAAAACCCATAGGATTCATCTTTGTTGTATCTCTTTTCCCTGATGTTGATTCATCTTCCACAATTTCTTCACTACTCATCTCAACTTCTTGAATTACTTCCATATGTGACCTTACTGTAAAAACAAGAATATTAAGCAAGTGCCAGCATCTAATATATCAAATCATTTGTTTCTCCCTCTCTACTTCACTGTCACCCATAAAAAAGACAAATAACTTAAGTCGTGACGCCTATGATGGAGGGTGCATGGATTAAGGAGAAGGATATACAAACTTCGGAGCATATAATATCTTAGGCAAATCCCACATAAAGGCGAACTAAATTGCTATATAAGACCGAACACAAGTTCACATGACACAAATTGAAAGAGGTAAAGTAGTAAGAACACTAATTAATATCAATACTTACATTGACTTGTCAAATGAAGAGGAACCACTGATGCTGGATCCATCCCTGGTGCACTATGCATATCAATTGAAGGTTTATCAACCATGATCCTTAGAGCAATAAGTGCATCCATTTGTTTACTCAACTCATCAGCTTCATCCTTCACTTGCCCTACTTTTTTCTTGTAAAAAGTTACCACCTTGTTGAACTCATCATCAAGTCTTTTAAAGAAAACCATCTCATACTCTCCACCTTGTTCAGATGACATAAGAAACATAGTTTGATGGGGTCCTTCTTGCTGCACTGTGTTCACTAAAATAACTTCATCTTCATGGTTATTACTATTATTATTCCCTTTGAAACTTGTGTATCTACTTTGTAATCCACTAAATGCTCTGTACATAGATATTCTTCTCTTTAATGAACCTTCTGGGGTGGCTGCTATTTCTGATAATGATGCATTTTTCTTCTTGAAATTCAAGATATCTTTCAAAAGATTCTTGAGATAATTATAATCCATATAAGCTTCTTGCCATTCATGGACCATTTGGGAAGTAAATTCTTTCCCAAATTTCATCTTTATCACAACTGATTAACCCAAAGCTCTCCTTTTTTTTTTTCTTGAAATAAAAAAAGTGAACTTTCTCTGTTTTACCAAATAGAAAGATTGAGCTTTAAATAAGAATGTTGTTGGTTTTGGCTTCTAGTGCGTGATTAGAGAAATGGTCAGCAATCAAGGTGTTAAAGGGTCGCTAAATCTAGTACAACTTCCAAGAATGTCACACAAAAGTCCAAACATTTTTTTAAGACTTCGAAAGTATTGTTGTTGTAATATGAACAAAAATGGCTGGAGGACCAAACCCAGAATATCACTATGTCTCAATCAATATTTCAACGACTGTCTCTTCATATAAGATTCGGGGCTGTGTATGAGCTGGTTTGTGCAGCAATGACCCATTAACAACTTTTTTTATTATTTGTTTTATTTAATACACTGGTGTTTTGTCATTTTGGGCACTATTCTGCTTGTTATGAGACAACAATAATGAAAGCAATAGTAACGAATAATAACACAATTTACGCGTGAATCTCCTCGGAGTGTATCATAAAATATACTAGTAATGTTTGTAATATTAATGCTTATATTAGTAATGTTAAACTTTGCATTAGTAATTATATCTTATGCATTATTGATTTGGTGTATTAAAAATAGTATGCATTGTATAAAAATGTTTTTTTACAAAATATTATGGTGGAAAAGATGTAAAAGTGTTTTTGAGGATGGTTGAATCTTTAACCATGCTAATGCATGAATTAAATCTTTTTTTGCTACTAATACATAGAAATAACACTTCTTAATATATAATAGAGTGTATAACTAATACATTGTATGAAAAAGTATATACAAAGAATGATTTTATTTTTTTCGGAGCTTATCTACCAAAAAATAATGCTACTCATGAACTATCTATTGAAAATTAAATAAATTTTAAATAGACGGAGGATAATTACTTAGCACAAACCTGATCTTTCGTGATTTTCACCTATTTTATTGTTGAGATTTTGTGAGCTTTTTAGGAGATTTATCTTATGTTAAAAATATATTTCTTGTAATTTAATTTTAAAATTTTACCTTATATATGAGATATAGAATTTCTTGCCTATGAACAATTTTTTCTTACCCAGAATAGAAGATTGTAGTCTTGTCCTACTGACAATGAGAAACAATATTTTTCTTCTCTAATTTCTTTCATTTATTAAGCGTGTGGTCATTTCTCTAAATACTAAACTAAATTAGATCAGATTTATATGTTAATTATGTATTCAAATAAATTTAATAATTTTTACTTGGATCTTATACATATTAATAAATTCATTTAATAATATTAACTTGAGATCAAATTATGAATTTCGAAATCGTATATTTGTTCATAAAAAAAAGGCCCTATTGAAGGCAAAAGTCTACCAAAGTATTTAAATTAGTATTAATGATCGTGGAGTTTATTGGTAACACAAATGCTGACCATACCCGTCCAGATCGTAGAAAACAAAAGCATAACAACTGGAATATTGTATAGTAAAATTAAGGACTAGTCATCTCCGGCCACTCAAAGTTGTCCGCATAATTTATTTAGACACCTTAACTAATTCTTATTTGTTCAAAAGTCATTCCTATTAGACACAAAATGCTGACATGGCAAAAAACGTGTAATTCACTTTCCTTGAGCGCGTTAATTTATTAAAAATAATATTTTTCCTTTTTTTTCTTAATTTATACCCCTAAGTTAATTTTTAAAAAAATAATTAACAAAAAAGAAGATCTGTTCTTCTTCTTCCCTATTTCTATCAACCCCAACCCAACCCAACCCCCATACCCATGCACCAAAATTCTTAACCATTCTAATAATTTCAAAATTCTTAGCATCAGTGCTTATCTTCTTCCCCCACCATTCTAATGGTTTCAAAATTCTTAGCATTTAGTTTCATTCTTCTTTCTTTTTTTTTCATTTTTTATAAAAAAAATCTGCTAATTTAATATGTGAGAAGAAGAAAAATTCAAACATTGGAGTTAAAAATTGACCGATATTCGTCTATCTCTATTTCGATCACTCCAATTGAACAAACATCGCCACTCTTAATTTATTAAAGATGATATTAAAAAATTCAACATACTTTCAATTTTTTTGGGTCATGAATCTTAAAAACAATTTATTAACGTTTATTTATTTTCACAAAAATCTCAAAACAAATGAAGAATAACAGATGATAGGAGATTAAGTTTGAACGGGAGGTTTTTATTTTTGTTATGGTGACTGCCGGGGTTACTGAGTAGAGGAATGGATAGAGGAAGAAGAAAGGTCAAAGGGTTAGGTGGGGGTGGAGAGATTTTTATAAATACTTTTGTGATTAATAAATAAAGGGAAACTATTTTTCATTTTTTTAAATTAAAAAAAATTATATTTTATTGCTAGATTGGATCCATGTGCCAAGTGTCATAATTTTATTTGTCATTTTTTTAAGTCAATATGCGTGAATTACACGCAAAATATTTTTTTAAAAGAATTTCGTTTTATGTTCAATAGATACATATTCTTTAATATTTAAGTGTCTAATAGATAATAGTCTTAATTGAGGTGTCTAAGAGAATTATGCGAACAACTTTAAGGGGCCGCATATGACTTAAGCCTAAAATTAAATATTATAAGCAAAATAATGCATCACCAAATCTCTGTCAAGATATTAAAATAGTTCAGCCCCAACAGAAATTGTATATAAAATAACTGCGTATGAATACTTTATTTTGTCACCTCACTTCCTTTGACTTTCTAACTATGCAAATAAATACTACACAAATTTATCACCTAGCTTTCCAACTAAGCAAATAAATAGGCATATTTACCATAAGTTCAAATTCAAAGTACCTATTATATTGCTATATTGAATATTTTAGACTTCTAATCCTTCAAAAGTCTTTGAGAAATATATTTTAAAGTCCATGATGCAGCATGCTTCGTAAGTTGGTATAATCAATCCTCATTATTATTTTTCTCCTCTAAATTTTAGTTGTGATGTTGTACATAAACTTTTTTTTTAGATATAATCTAGGACAAGTTGAATTGCATGAAAAAGAAAGCCCCCCTGCTTTTTTGTTTTGTAGTCCGTCGTAAAAAAATTATTCATATATTAATTTTATATTATATTTAGTAGTTGATTAAAAAATAAATTACTTATATATTAAAAATATGCATATGACGTTTGATTTGTAATTGAAAATCCTATCATAACTTATGCATATAATTTATGAGGGAAATATACACATAACTAATACTTATTTTACTAATATTTACGGACTACAATCCTACATAATTTTAATGAGCTAACAAATGACTTGTACTTAATTATGAACCAAAAAATTATTAATTTTGACAAGGCTACTGGTCAAGTTTGTTCTTTAATGATGTATTTGCTGAACAGTCATATCATCAATTCATCACTTTACTTACTGCCGACTTGATTCCTTCTAGTCTAGCTAATAAATGGCATCTTTTTGCAAATTGCCATACTATATTTTGTTACTGGATATCTTTACTTTTATTTTGTTTTTTTGCCCTTTGGGTTTTGATAAAGAAAAGTTTTAAAAAAAAATTCAAGGAATTGGTTTATTCATGTTTGAAAGTGCAATATGATAACAACGAAGAAATGAGGACAATTGTTTGCAGGAGGGAGTTACCATATTAAAATTCGACTAAATTCAATTGCACATGGTAAATTTTTAATAAAATTTTCTTCATACCCAAAACTTATTATTAGTATATGTTGAGGAAAAAGTTTTTCTTTTTTGTGTGTATGTCGGGGCGGAGCTAGGTAGGAGTTCATGGGTTCGGACAAATCCACTAGTTTTTTTCTCAGACTCTATATTTGTATTAGTATATTTTTTGATTTTTATGTATATTAACTTGTGAGCTTCCGAGCAAATTGATTTAGAACTCCTAAACTTCTAATCTTGACTCTGCCTCTGCGAGAAAGTTGAATTAAAATTGATCTCAAAATTGGAGAAGTCATATATTAGCATTAATTTCTTTATAGGTTTGCACTTCTTTTTCATTATCCAATTGGTTACTCCAACTATTTTGAAAAAATTGTACGCTTATCTTCACCCTTTTATTTCTTTCGTGCGTAATCGTTTTGATATTTGATATTTATAGATTTACATTATGTAATACTTATTGAAATATAAAATATTCTATATTAAACTATTTTTAATAAATTAATTTTATTCATTTCGTCATAAGTTATGAGACATGTATATTTACTTTTCTTGCGCACTTACTTTCCATTACGTACACCCTTTAATTTCTTCTGAAATCCAGTTATTTTCTTTAATTTCCTTGCATTAACATCCATTTAATTTAGACTAGAATATTTCTGTATATGGTGCCCCTTGACCTCTTACCCAACATTTTGTTGTTTAAAGTATACTAGTATTTCATGCTTGTGTTTTGTATATTTGTCATATATTAAGATCAATTCGTATTTTTCCTCCTTTTTTTTTTTGATAATTTCAACTTCAGCAAATTAAATAATCAGCTGTATTAAATGAAACAATAGCCAGCCCTCGAGGACTTGTTCCTTCTAATTAATTTTTAGTCCAACTTATCATATATTATTATAAGCATGAAGCTCTAAAGTATAAAGTTGAATTACTACTTTGCCCCTATACTAAATTAAAAAGTAATAAAATACTTTACCCAAATATAAATTAAATATCTAATTAAATAGTAATATTGAATTACATAATAAAGGAGCAAAATAAGAAGTTCAGCAGTCTATTCAATTACTATGTGTGAAACAACCAAATAGGATGAACACTAATAAAGTTTTAATCAATATAGAGGTTGAAACGTATTTTGCTAATTATAAGAAGTTGAAACGTATTTTGCTAATTATGAGAAGTTGAAAGGGATCAAATTAAGTAATTGAGGAATATCAAAGAGTTTTTATCAACAAATCTTCAAGACTACACTATATAAATATACTCAATATTAGTCATTCAACATAAGCTTCCATTGTTAAGTGGGTACAAAAATGTCTTCTAATTTTCAGGTACAATCTTATTAAGTCTAGATTTTTCCGTTTGATTTGCTAACTTCATTTGAATGATAACTTTCTAATTTTTTTAATAGGTAAAATAAATAGCTTGAAAGGTATAATCACACATATAAAAAATTGAATGTTGTTGTACACATATGGTTTGATGCTGAATGATGATCAACTCTCTTTGAAACTCTCTACGCATAGCTTCCCACAGAAAAGAAACCATGTTTAAACTTTTAAACTATTAATAATAAATTGAAATTGCAGCTGTTTGCTAGCAAAAAAAATCACATTTTCTTCAACAA